CCCACCTCCCCTCCCCTCCCCTCAACTTGCCCAGAGGTGCATGCATGCTGCGCACATTGCGCTCTCGCTCTCGCTGAACACCTCGCCATTGCCCACCTCGCATCCTCTCTCTAGACGCTGCCCCTGCGCTTGTGCAGAGCACCCTCTCCACATCGTCCGTCGTTCGTCGTGCGTCCAATCGCCCCTACGAGACAGCCCTCATTATGCCTGCCGTTCCAGAGCGAATCGCGGTGAGTTTTGTGGGGGGGGGGGGGCTGAAGGGAAAGCGCAACAAGTCGGATGCGTGCGTGCGTGTGGGCGGTGGATGGAGAAGGATGTGCGCTGCGCTTATCAAGGGCTGACACTCGCGCACCCCCGCACACGCACCCCGCACACTCAACCCGCCATCGCATTCCCCCGGCAGGTGAGCGACAATGCATCTCTTCGTCATCACTTTGACGATCTGAGCATCGCGCTCGCAGAGCCCGAGACGGAAAGTTCTTGGCAGAGATTGGATCGGGCATTGTTGACCTTGGAAGCCATCACAAAGGGTGGAGCTTACAAGTTGGAAGAGTATGTGCCCAGATTAAAGGCCATTGCTCACAATATCTGCGATGCGGTGAGTGGCGTGCGGAGTGATGTGATGTGATGTGCGGGCGCGGGGGCGAGGGGCGGTGCTGAGACCTGACACCTGACACCTGACACCTGCCCCCTCTGCCTGCCCCCTCTGCCTGCCCCCTCTGCCTGCCCCCTCTGCCTGCCCCCTCTGCCTGCCCTCTCTGCCTGCCCTCTCTGCCTCACAGCTTCTATCGGACAGGAGCAAATTATCGGGCACAGCAGCCGATCTGCTCAATTCCGTAGCCCCTCGCCTAGCAGACCGATTCGATTCGCTGGTCAGCTCCTTTCTGCCTTCCCTCTTGCAACTATGCGCTCGCACAAACAAGGTCCAGCACACTCGAGCTCGCAAGACGCTGCTGCTCATAGCCAAGCACTGCAGATTATCCTCCCTCTTGCCCCTTCTCAGGGAATCTAGCAGGGACAAGTCCAACGCGTTGAGAAGCGCTTGCGTCGAGTGCGCCGCTGTGCTGCTCGAGAGCTGCGAGGGCGATGCGGGCAGGATCGGTAGGAGAGTGGCAGAGGTGGAATTGCTGGTCAAGAATTCGGCTACGGATGCCAATGTGGAAGTGAGGGGATTGAGCAAGCGCTTGTTCGGCACGTATGTCATCCTCTGGCCCCAGCGCGTAGAGAGGTGAGTGGGCCAGGCAGGCAGGCAGGCAAGCGGGAAGGGGGGCGCGCAGGCAGGCAGGCAGGCAGGCAGTCATCTGCGGCTCTTCTTTTCCCGCGTTCGCTTCGCTGATCAGACTCTTGCGGACGCGCACGTGATGCGGATGCGCGTGTGCCACAGCTTCACTGCGCCTTTTACTCCCACAATCAGACGATACTTGGCATTGCCAAAGACGGGCGGGTATGTGCCTCCTCAGCTGAGCATGCCCGCTCTAGGCTCAGGCTCAGGCTCAGGCTCAGGCTCCAGCGCAGCCTCCGATGGCCCCATGCTCGAATCCGAGTTGGGTGCTGGCAAACATACGCCAGCGTTCTTCGCTTCTCGAACCGCACCTGCAGCCATCGCGGATTCGCCCAAGAGATCCCTGTCTCGTAGTCAGGCAATTAACGGCTTGAGATCCGTCAAGGAAAGAGCCAATCACGCCACGGTAGGTGCTGCAACGTCGAGCGTAGGTGGTGCGCAACATGCTCATCATCATCATCATCATCAACAACAACAACAACAACAACAACAGCAGCAGCAGCAACAAGCATTCGTGCCCAGCGCATCCACCAACCACAATCACAAGAACTGGAGTGCTGCCCAGCCGCAGAGCTTCAAAGCTTCTCATGGATCAGGTCTGAATGTCAAGGTGCAGCAACTCGCCCCTACTGCACCATCGGCGGCGGGACCAGACACGTTTAGCCGATCAAAGACCATGTTTGCCCTTCCCAGCAGCACGTACGATGCCACGTGGCAGGGGAACACGACGCAAGCGTACCCTTTCATGCCCAGTCAACCATCTCAATCTCTGTTGCATGCTCCATCTCAAGCGTCTGCATCTGCTGTACCTACTGCTCCGCTCTTTGCGCTTGGTGGAAGCACCTCCTCCTCCGCCCTTTTTAGCGCATACGCCCAATCCTTTGGCAAGCATGCTCGAACGCACAGTAATGCGGCGGGCGCAGGTGCGGGGATGGAGCAGCAGCAGCAGCAGCAAATCCAGAATAGACCTGCAGCTCAACGCAGCCAGACAACAGCAGAGCCTGGCGCTCATGCGCAGCTCGCCCGTTCGGAAAAGATGCGCGGAAGGGAAATGACGGCGCTGGGAGAGGATGGGAGTGAAAATGGCAGCAGGATGAACCTTCCTGCGACGTCGATCGAGAGGCAGCAGCAGCAGCAGCAGCAGCAGCAGCAGCAGATTGCAAATGATGGACAAAACACACCTCCATTGTTGTTGGAGGAATGGAATACGACTGCTTCTGCTTCTGCTTCTGCGCCGGCTACTTCTTTGGCGAGTAGGACGCGTGCGCAAGATGCGATCGCACAAGCACCTCCAATGGCACTAGCGTCATCCGCAGCCATCGATGCGCCCGGTCCACACCGCCCAAAGGCTTCTAGAATCCTGCTCAGTGCGGCGGCGCAACCCAGCACGGTCGTTCGATCTGCCCAACCCTCCGCAATTAGAGTGCACAAGACTTTGCCCATCTCCAAAGCAGCAGCAGCAGCAGCAACAGCAGCAGCGTCGACGACGAGTTTGCAACAGGAGACGATTTTGCTCGTGGAGGGTGGGGAAAACGAAAGTCCTACGGTGCTGCGCGAGGCGAATGTGCAGAGCAGAAAGATCAAAGAGGAACGCATGATTGGAGAAGGGGTGGGAGTGCAAGTGCAAAGCGAGGCCGATGCGCAGAAGCAGCAGCAGCAGCAGCCACAAGGACAACAACAACATGATGCACAGACGATCGGCATGAAGCAAGAGCTGCGCGCGGAAGAGCAAGTGGAGGAGGCTGAAATCAAGCGTCCTGTCGACCAGCCAATTTGCGAACCTTCTGTTCCGCATGTGCAAAGCCTCGACGAAAGGAGCAAGAGTGAGGTTGCGACGGTGCATAGAGCACGCGAAGCGCCTCAAATCGGCAAGGTGACGAGCTCCACCTCCAAAGCTCTCGCGGGCAAAAGACGAGCGTTGGGTCCTTCGGCTGGTATAGCCGCACGAGCTGCATCCAAAGTTGGAGCCGGACATGCGCGCGAGAACGGTAAACGAGCAGCGCTTATGGGTGTCGCTGCCGGTGCGATATCTCGATCTGAAAGTGGAAAGGATGTGCGTAGGAAGGAGGTGGAGAAGGATGTTCGACCACACTCGCCCAATAGAGTCAAGACGCAACGTCCTGCTGCTGGTACCAATGCTGCTGGTGCTGCAAACAAGGGCGCTTCCGCACTCAATGCCTCGGCCAACGCTCGACCGGCTACGAATAGCAAGCTCAAAGCTTCTGCAGCGACGAGCAGACCACCTCCCAGCAGTTCCAACGCCTCTGGTAGGAGAGTGGTCAGCGCTGTTCCGCCCTCTTCTAGACTGACCAACAGTCTTGCTGCGAGCACCAATGGCAGCGGTGGTGCGCGAGAAAGGTTGACGGCTAGCGTGTCGGGTCGACCAGCGGGCGCCCAAGCCAAAGTTCAAGTTCCACTGCCCGCTGCTGCAGCAGCATTCAAATCGAATGGCACCTCTAACGGCGCTAGCATTGCAATCTCCAAGCAAGCGCAACCAACTGCCACAGCTGCACCTCGCACAAAGGGCTTGCCGAGCTACATGCAACCTACGGTAGCTTCTGCGCGCACCAAGACGACGACGACGACGACGAGCAAACCTGCTCTGTCCGCTTCCATCACCTCCACTGTGCAAAATGCTCCTCTGGTCAAACGAGCGTCGGGGACAGATACGCAAGCCGAGAGTCTGAAGAAGAAGAACAATAAAGCGGTGCTTGGACCGCCCATCTCTGGACGTGCGAGGGGTCACGCTTCCACGCTCTCGGGTGAGCAGCAGGAGAAGGAGCAGGCGAGGAAAAATGGAAAGGGCAAAGGTTTGCGTCCTTCGGAGACAGCTGCTATGAGGTTGGCAGCTGCTAAAGCCAGCGCGGCTTCTTCGCCTGCCAAAGGAGCTGGAGCTGGAGCTACTGGCGCTGAAGGTGAAGGCACGCAAGGCTCGCCCGCCAAGATGCAACAAGAGCAGATGCGACCTGCTGCTGATGCTGATGCTGATGTGCGGAAGGATGAGCACGCAACGTTGGAAAAGTCTGAAAAGCGTGATGGGCAGGTGGAAAATGAACTGAGAGACGCGCTGCAGAAAGCTCTGGGGAATGTGGCGGCGGATCCTAATGGAGATGCTCAGCACGATGTCGAGGTGCTTGGCGAGGCGCAACCCGTGCTCGAACGTGCGTGCGAGCATGAGCACCAGGCAGAAACGGCTGGGGAGGAAGATGTCGGGGCTGCCACGCTTGCCGAAGGGGAGCGAGAGGCGGTGGAGCGTCTCGAAGAAGAGGACAGCACGGATGATGTCGAGGGTGAAGAGCAGGCAGGCAACGTGGACGAGGATCTGGTAGACTCGGAGGCGCACGAGGAGGTGGTTGAGGAATGGGGCAAGGACGAGCTAGGGCAGGAGCATGACGATCTAGAGCCGGAGAGCGTTGCTCCTGAGGCGGTATTGGAACAAGGCGCGCCGCATTCGCTTCATGAGAGCGAGGAAGCGAAAGTGGAAGCAGAAGCAGAAGGCGACTTGCTGGAAGAAGAGTCGAAATCTGCAGCTTGTCGGTCTCCGACAGAGTCGCAAGCACCGTCAAGGGTCGGCACTCCTTTCAAACCTCCTCGAGCGACGGTGCGTTCGGCCTGCACCAGTCCGAGCAAGAGCAAGTCCAGCACGCCTTTTACACCACACAGAGTGGACAGGAGCCTCAATAGCTCTCCTATCAAAGCTTCGGGCAACACCGCTTCTGGAACAAGCGCAAGACCTCTAGCTCATTCAGACGACGCCCCTCGAACGCCCTTGGCTGAGCTGAACACGTTCGCAACGTCTCCGAGACACGCTTCGCCAGAGAAGGAGAGGAAGAGCAGCGTGGAGGCGATCAAGGTCTTTTCGAGAGCAGCACCTTCCCCTAGCAAAGCCCTCGCAGCTCTCAGACTCGCCTCCACCTCTCCTGTCAAAATATCACCGAACAAGAAAGAAAGTGCTGCTGCTGCCGCTGCTGCTGCTGCCTCGAGACCCGTCTCGCCCATCAAGCAAGCACAAGAAGCAACATTGCCAAACTCTAGATCATCCTCGCCCATCAAGCTCCCATCGCGCACATCCTCTCCCTTGCGTCGAGCAGCACTAGCCAACATCTCCATGTCCTTCTCTCAAACGCCTGCGCGTCCCTCTATCGCCCAATCTCCCCAACGCTCCCACTCCATCTTGGAGGCAAGGGCTGGAGAAATGGTGCGCAACTCCGACGATGACGATGCGAGCCTCCTTTCCGAGCGCGAGCGCGATCACCGTCATCATGACGATTCGATCGCTGGCGCTTACGATTCGGACATGTGTCCCGAAGATTCCATCGACCTGATCAAAGTCTCGGCGCTCGTCTCTACTCCTCTTCGCAGACCAGCTGCTCCACCTTTGCCGCTCAAGCAGCGCAACGTCGATTTTTCGCCCGCTGCTACTGCCAAGTCGCAAAGTCCCACAAAGGAGGCCGCCGCGCGAGGATTTGATGAGGCACAGCAGGAGGGGGAGGAGGAGAATGAAGAGCCTGGAGGGATGCGAGGGGAGCTAGAGCTAGAGCTAGAGCAAAGAGAAACGTTGCCTAGTCCGCCGCTGCCGGCTATGAGGAGATCTGCTAGGGTGCGCAACAAACCCGCTACGCTGCGCACTTGATGCGCCGCGGGCTCT